TGCCCAGGGTGACCCAGTTAGCAATTGAGCTCGTAAGGTGGATCTGACACATTTTATCTAACGCCAAAGCAGGTCATTTCAACTCTTAGTGACATTTAGCTATTGGGACCCAGGGGAGGGCATTGCACTGATCAAGGGCACACAGCACATAAGGAACGGAGCTGGGACTTGAATCCAGGTGTCCTGATGTCCAATGTCTTGTCTTCCTATCTTAAAAATGATCGCTTCCACTTTCAACCAAGCCTGGTCTGTATCCTGGGATGGGGTTCTCAGGTGGAGGACCAGAAGGGGGGTTTCTGGGTTCAATCCATCCTGGTGGTTGGGTCTGGGGAAGTCATCAGAGGAGAAAGATCCCCAGCCCATCTCTTTCTTTTGTTCTTGCCAGGCCAAGTGGCGACACCTGGCCTCACAGGGCACTACTCGTCTGGACATGTTTGAGCACCTCAGTCTCCTGACCCTGGACAGTCTGCAGAAATGCATCTTCAGCATGGACAGCCACTGTCAGGAGTAAGTCCTATGCCCAGATCTAGAAACTTGAACTCTTGATTCCTGGGGACGTGTGGGGAAGAGGGACGAATGAGGGAAACCAGAGACGTTAAGCTGGAGAAGGTGGGCCCGGGTTGGGCGTTAAAGGACAGAGACAGAGAAGGATAAGGAGAAATGCTTCCAGGTAGGTGGGAATGTTCGGTACAAACAAGAACAGAGCACGTGCAACAGACAGTGAGGAGGCGCCTTGACTCTGAAGTTGATGAGTTAAGCAGTAGCTAGATCTTAAGGGGCTTCAAAAACCAGGCTAAGGGGTATGGGACCTTTATTCTGAGATTTCCAGGGAGCTGTGGAAGGTGTCTGAGCGGATGAAGGGTGTGGCCAGAGCTGAGCTTTAGATCCTGACTTTGTGGAGGACTGACTATTAGGTTGACGTTGGATGGAGGTGGTCTGGACTTGGTGTAGATTCTACAGGGTGGAAGATGTTGGAGGGCTGACACACAACAATAAGGAAGGAGGGGTAGAAGCAACTGTGGGGTAGGAGGAGAGAGCACGGTGCCCAAGCCCTCTTTGGCTCTCTGGTGCCTGAAGGCCGTTCCCAAGGTTCAGAATACAAGTTGAAGGGCACCCTTCCTTGATAGGGCATGGTCCTGTGGTTCAGAGTCGGAGGGGCTCCCCGAGTTTCATGTGTTTTAAAGAACAACTAGCCTGTCTCTGACTTGGCCTTTTTTCCCCCTTTCTTCCTTTAAAGAGTTTTATTGGCATATACTCCACATACCACGTAGTTTTCCAAGAGCCTTTTTTTAAAAGAGCATTTTATTGGGAACTCTTATAACTCTTGTTACAATCCATACATCAATTGTATCCAACATATTAGTACATATATTCCATCGTTCTTTTGGGGACATTTACTTTCTATTGCGCCCTTAAGATCAGCTCCTCTTTTTCTGCCCCCGCCCACCCTCATGGCCCCTTGATAGATTATAGATTGTTATTGTTTTCATATCTCATAT